AAACCCATTCAAGGGGAAAATATCTTGAGCTAAAATACCTGTAGGATATTGAAAATTATCCAATTATAATAATTTAATAGGTATGTTAGCTTGTACTCTACTCAAAAAAGCATTTTTAATATACTCTTCAAATATTTTTAATTCTGCCTGAGCTTCTTTGGTAAGGGACTGGAGGCTATGTAATTCCAGATCCCCCTGACAAATAAGCAAAATCTGACAGTTTTTTTTAGATTTTCTTAAACACAGTCATAACAGGTGAAGCTGGCACTACTTTTTGTTTCAACTTAGTGGCTTGTTTTTTCATTTGCTTTCCTAGCCCATTAAGTTTCTCCAAAATGGATTGCAAATCCAAACTAGTTTTCTTGATTAAGTTTTTTTGACCTTCCACAATTTGCTCTTTGGTTTTTTGATCCATATCCAAATTTTTTACTGACAGAATAACCTCCTTTCCCAGATCTGTCACTAACTGCTCTTCCATCATAGTTTTAAAAACAGCAAAAATCATAGACTACATAGACCAGAAATGTGCAGGTATTTTCTCACTCCGTCTCACAGTTTTTTCAACATTAGTTTTAATTCTTTGCTAAATATCTCTATCTAAAGTGCCTTCTTCTGGAAACCAAGTATTATATTCCTTAATTACTTCTACATACATTTCTAAATCAGAAAAAGAAACAGAAACACCATGAGTTTTTAGTAAATGTCTTATCATAGCAAGAAATGGAGAAGGCTTACCTTGTCCCATTACCCTGTAATAAAGATTATTTACGTGGTTAGTGTTTTCTGACCCTTCCTAACTTTTCCTCTTCAGGGTCCCTGTTCGGGCGCCACTTGTCAGCATCTGGTGCCTTGGGGTCCCTGGGTAAGGGTCTCATGCAAATCAGGACACAGGAGATGCAGAGTATGAACAACTGCATAGCAAGCTTTATTTTGCATGGCTTTTTGTACAGACTAAAAAGCATTGCCTCAACTCTTTAACCCTCATTTACTCACGTACATGATCATGAGAAACTCTTACCTCACCTTGCAGAAAACAATACCTCAATTAATAATAGTAATAAAAATAAAAAGAAGTACATAGAAACAAGGTGAAAAGTATACAGAAGCAAAGCACTCCTTTATATCTGGTAGAGCGTGAAGAACTGAGCACAAAGGCCACTTCCTTATCCGGGTTCTGACAGAGCATTTTGCTGCGGGAGCTCCTTCCACTCCTTCAGCCAACAGCCTTTAAGATACCAGCCCATTGGGCATGGTCTCTTTTGCTTTAAAAAGCAGCGGTAGCCCTGCTCTCACTCTCTTGCTTTCGGCTCCACTTCCGGCTGCTAGACTACATTCTTGGTCACGCAGAGGGCTGTTGTCTAGGTCAGTGATGTATAAATTTTCTCCTTAAATAAATAACCCTTTTATTAATCATAATTCCAAACTGTTGTGGAATTGTTTTGTGACTTATGCCTTCAACTTATGAGAAATGGGCAGCGAAAGCATGCTTTCATCTATGTTTGTGGTTTGCCAACCAACCGTTTCCCAACTTACTTCATCTGTCCCAGGAGGAGCCTGCACTCTGTGCCAGTCCTGTGTCTCCATAGAAAGTTCTTGTGTTCCCATTGCCAAGATTTTATTTATGTAAAAGTTTTCTTTGCCAAGGTACTCAGGTTAAAGGACACTAACATTGGGACACTGCTGTTCATTAAACTGAGCACTAGGTCCACATTCCATCACTTCCCTATTACTCTTGTGTAGTTTGGAGATCTAATTTGGGATATACATTGCATCTGACTCCCATCATTAAAATAAATATTTTTAGAAGTAAAAGGGTCTAAGGCCCTTGTGACTGGAATCTGGGCATCATTTAGCACATGGTGGATGCTCTGCAGCATCGTTTCAACACCAGTCTAGAAGACATCACTACACTGCTTTATCTTTGAACCTTACAGGAGAGGGTTTACCCTTATGACATTGGCTTGTACCATCATTGTAACTTACTCTATGTCCTGAATATTTCCTGAATATCAAGGTGTGTTAGTTAGGGTTTCTATTTTGATAAAATGCCATGACCAAAGCAAGTTGAAAAACAAAGCGTTCATTTTATCTTAAAGCTTGTAGTCTAACATCCAGGGAAGTCAAAGCCAGGAACTCAAGGCAGGAAACCGGAGGGAGTAACTGGTCCAGAAGTCATGGAGAAATACTACCTACTGGCTTGCTCCCCATGGTTTACTATTATGGCACCCAGGGCCACCAATCTAGGGGTGACACTGCTGCTCTACCTTGCAGGAAACTATACGATTATTTCCCAGCATTGCATAAACTTGGCATGTTGAAGCATGCCTTACACCCAAATGCAAGTCTCAAAGCAAAATTAGAAAAAAAACCAGGATAAATAAACCTTTACAACTGGAACTGGAGCTTTATTGTGAAGAATCAGGCATGTCTGTTTACATTTTGCCCTCCACCTAACACTGGGCTGGGAGAAGGCTCATTGGGTAAAGGACCTGGGGTCCATGCATGAGGATCTGAGCTGTGGAACTCTCAACTCCACTTTGTTCATGAATGATGACTCTAAATACATCATATACGTAAATCATACTATTTTGTATGATTTTTGTGCCATACCTGCCTCACTTGGCAAAATGTTTTCAAAGTTATTGACATACCACATATGTATTCTTTATCTTTTTTGGTGAAATAATATTCCATTTTATGCAGTCACCATATTACATTGTCCAGTCATCCACTAGTCCTCCTGTTCTTATGGCTTTCCAAGTTTATTCATCTTGGGAGGACCATGGAGCAACTGTTCCCAACAGTATCTCAGTGTGCCACAGACCCCTTTGGTTTCTCAATGGAGAAAAATAATACAGTGTTGACATTTGACATCTGACCACTATAGGGTACATACCTGCACACACACAGGTGCACATGAACCTGAACTAGTACTTATAACATACAAATCCTACTGTGCACACATACAAAATAAAATTGAAAAAATAGTAAATTTTATTTTACATTTTTAACTAATAAGGAAAGAGGTGGTTATACCCTCCCTTTCTCATGGACCCCCAACCCTGAGCAGAGAGAGCTACTTCTGTTTTCTTATGCAGGAAGCATGCCTATGTCATGGCAAAAGCTATTCTCTGGGCTGAGACTACTGTGGCAGACAGAGCAAGGCCTCCATTTCCTGTTGGTCATTAGAACAGCAAATCTGATCCTTGCTGCATACTTGCAGATGTCTGGGGAAAGTTTGCACACATGTCTAGCTCATGAAAGAGGCTGGACAAGAAGAAGTTAAGGAACTTCTATATGAAGCTTTGCTGTGACAAAGGCATCTGAAGAGAAAGTCAAGGATCCAGTTTCAGTGAATAAATACACTTCCTAACGGTTTCACAAAGAAAAAAGAGAAGTTGAGTAGGTAGAGTCAGAAAAACGCACCACGAGAGTAGTAGTGGAAGTCAGAGACAAGTTTCTAGACTACCAAATGCAACAGAAGTGAAGCACAGAGAGCTGAGAAACCTAGATAATTTGGCAAAGATGTTTAAAAACACCAAATTGCTGATGAGTACTTTCCTGTTATGGAAAAAGACTGAATGGAAAAAAATTATAGAAACCAAAAGGAAATATAGATAAAGCTACTAAACCATAGTCTGAAATTTGAAGGATTGCAAAGGATCTTGGGAGCTAGCAGATCTAGGAGTGAGCAAAAATTACAAGAGGCAGTTTCTACAGATGCTGCAAGGCAGGGCCCCAACATCTGTGGTTTTTGCAATGCTCCTCAGGAGATCCTCTTGCCAAATTCTATACCACTGAGTTATCCTTGAGCTTAAGTGATTTTTTTCAGATCATAGTCCCCTTGAAATGCCACAAGAGCCATTTCATATTACCATAACTCATTTTTATAAAGCAACTTTAGCCAAAGCCCCCAATCAAGACTAAGCTATTACATCATTGCAGAGAAGTATCCACCTGCCCTGGCAGTTTTTATGACAAGTTGGAAATGAGCTATGATCATTAGAGAAGAAGTACCCTCAGTTGAAGAAATGCCTCCATAAGATCCAGCTGTAGGGCATTTTCTTAAAAAATAATCAATAAGGAGGACCCAGCAACTGTGAGTGGAGTCACTCCTGGGCTGCTTGCCCTAGCTTCTATAAAAAGAGCCTGAGCAAGCCATGATGAGCAAGCCAGTAAGCAGCACCCCTCCATGGCCTCTGCATCAAGTCCTGCCTCCAGGTTCCTGTCCTGTTTCAGTTCCTTCCCTGACTTCCTGTGGTGGTGAACAGTGATATGGAAGTGGAAGCCAAATAAGCCCTGCTTCCCCAAGTTGCTCTTTAGTCATCGTGCTTCATTAAAGCAATAGAAACCCCAACTAAGAAAGCATCCATGAGCCTTACTTAATGAGCTCATCAAAGTTGCTTTATGGCCACTCATTATGTGTGTTTTTGTTTATTTGTATGTTTGTATGTTTGTTTTTGAAGTTGTGTCTTTTCTTGCCCAAAGTAGCCTCAAATATATTGCCTTCCCAAGGATGGGTTTGAAATACTGATCTTTCCAGATCCCAAGTGAAGATACTGTAAGCATACTCTACTACGTGAAGTTTATTGAGTTTTTAACCTTAGGCTTTTATAATCAAATTTAGAGCCATGCTTTTGAGATAGAGTCAATAAATTTTAATGAACCAGATAATGGTCAATGAAGGATTCATTGACTATTATATTTGGTGGATGATAGGTTATGTTCCTACTGTAAAGATGAAGATGTAAAAATGTAAGATTTTCTAGGACAAATTCCCCTTTTCCAGGTAAAAGAAATTTGATTGATTGCCTCACATGATTACTATTGATGAGATGAACTAACACGCAATACTTAAGAACATTACATTGGAGCTTTATACCCTTTTATTTATAATTTAGTTTGTTACTATTTTGTGGACTTAAAAAATAACCATTGCTTATTTAAAGAAAATAGAAGCCAAATAGAAAAAGTCTCCATTAGATACTGTACATAAAACATTCCTTTTTTATATTTGTAATTTTTATTTAAAAAATTTTGACAATTTCACATATGTACATAATACATTTCAGCCATTCTCACTCACTCCCATCTTTCTTTTCTCCCTTCCAACCCTTCAAACACCCCTCTCCAAAATTCCCTTTCCCACATTTTTATCTTTGGGTTTTGTCTTGTGAACCACAGAGTTTAACCAGTGTTGTCAGTGTGATCATGGTTTTAGATATTCCACAGGAGCCTAGCTGCCTCTCCTGTTGAGTATCTATGTGAAATCAAAGACTGCCTCTCTCCCATAATCTTCCAGTAGCAATAGTTCAGCAGAATAGGGTGTGGTCCCATTGAGTCTCTCTCTGACCCTTGCTGTGCTGATGAAGGACCCAGTCTTGTGCAGGGAGCTGCAGATGTTGTGAGACAGACCATGGTTGCAAGGGCTGTGTCATGCCCACAATAGAGCATTTCCAGCTGTTCTTCTCATCTTCTGGCTCCTGACTCTTTCTACTAAATCTTCTTCTAAGCTTTGGAAGGGGTTGTATGGGTGTCCTGTTTAGGGTTAAGTACTCAAGTGTCACTTACTCTAGTCCTTTGAGCAGTTATGAGTCTCTGCGTTCACCACAATTCATTACAATGGAAATCTTTCCTGGGTAATGCTGGCTGCAGCATGTGTCCATGAGTGTAAGTGTAAATATTTAGAAGACAGTCAGAATCACATATCTTTCAACAAATGAAGACAGATTTTGTCCTACAATGTAAAACTCTAGTTGCTTTTGGGGGGGGGGGATTTACAAAAAAGAAAGATTTTAGTTGTTGTTGTTTTTTAAAGGTCAATTAAAAGAAAATGGAGGAGTGATTTTAAAATATCTCTTTTTCTTAAGAAATAATAGCTGCACATAGGTAATTAATAAGAGGATAATCATTATACAAGTTAAGGTCACGAGATTCTTCCAGAATCCCCATGGTGAGAGGTCAATGTCCCAGATTGTCAAGAATTCTTCACCAGTACACCTGTAATTCAATTTATAGAAAGATAATATCAAAATTTATTCAGGACATTCACTGTTTCTTGCTTTAAAATACCCATAGTTTTAGCACATCATTAAGTTTCTTTTTTATATTTAATTGTGGTAGTACTGATGTACTTACAATTTTGTTATATGTTATGTCAATCTCAACTATGTGAATCAAGTACCTTAGTTAATTTCAAAATTCATCCTAAGAGGTGTAGCTGTCACATCTCTTTAAAAGCACAGAAGAAGAAAACTTAGTAAATATGGCCCTGTCATTTCTAATCTACAATGTTGTTCTCCCTGATGTGATCTGTATCAACTCTTGTTCCTCCTGAAGGGGAAAACCTCAACTGCCTAAGTGCACACACACACACTCCAAGAAATCAAAGCTTTTCATAGTTCTGCTGACACAGCACACAATCACACAAAAGAACAACGTATCAAATTCTAGACCAAGGACCAGAGGAGACCAAGGGTTTCTGAGAGGAGTCAGTCAGTTGCTGTCAGCTCCTGTACTAAGAGAGCAGTAACAACCATGGATGCTCAGCTATGGAACATCCCCAGGAGCCCATGGCTACAGATAAAGTCTGGGAAGCAGTTGAAACTCAGATGCAGTAGCTTGGAAAGGCAGCTACTGTCAAAAGTTCTGGATACACTGAAATTGCGGACTGTGTGTCTCCATCCTCTATGTCTCAATCCCTGTGTATCTTTAAGCTGTGTGTCTCCATTTTTGTGTATCTCAATTCTGTGTATCTCCTTCCCTATGTGTCTCCTTCCCTGTATGTCTCAATCCCTGTGTGTCTACATCCCTGTGTGTCTCCTTCCCTGTCTGTCTCAATCCCTGTGTGTTTCCATCCCTGTGTGTTTCCATCCCTGTGTGTTTCCATTCCCTTGTATTTCCTAGGATCTAATAGTTCCAGAATACAGTGGAAGGGAAGATTTCTTCTTCATCTTGTGAGGAGAATCAGGAGAATCCTTTTGTGAATCTGAAAACTGTGGATGGCCTTCCTTGATTTCACATTACTAATCCAAGTCCTCCTAAACCGACACTGATAATGAATTTGTATTAGAAGGATGCCAGACCACATCAGGAGAGAGGAGATGTTATAAATAAGATATTGTCCTATATGTGTTTTCTTATCAGTAATTCAAACATAATTTTTATTAACATCTGTGAGAAATTTAACATATCGTCATATTCCTCTGTCATTTCTATATGAAAATAAAATCAATGAGAACAATCATAGAAAGTGAAAGTACTTTTATGGAGTTAGATACAAAAGATATTTCCTTTTCAACACAGAGAAATATGTATTTTTCATTGTAGGACAAGTCTTCTGATAGGATATTTTACCCCCCCACACACACACACAAGGTGCACACACACAACATACATACTACCCTTTGATTTCTTAAAGTCTTCTAGAGTGTGGGGCAGAGAAAATACCCTGAAATTGGGGAGGCAAAGATCACTCACTTTTATCCTTGCTGCCCTGACATTCTTGGGCTCTGCTCACAGGTGCCATAATCTATGCATGTGAGACTGTATGCCCTTGTAAACTATCAGCGCAGCCCATGTCAAACTTAAGTGTTCTAAAACAACTCAAATCCACAACCAAGACACCAAAATCATTTTAAAGGCCCCAAAGAAGACTTGCTTCACATTTTCTACACCTTGGAGTAGTACAAAGGAAACATCCATATGTACATTAGTTACAATGACTCACTCTGGGCAAAGGACAGAGAGTTAATCCTGAAAGGATGGGTTTCCCTCTAAGCCTAGTAGCATTCTATGTCCCCATCGTGACACTGTACTCAAGCTTACATTACAAAGTTGTGACATCTACTGACTTCTGCTGCTTTATGTTCTGGGCAGAAGTTTTGTCCCACGAGTTCATTGTGTTGCAAAGCCTGTAACACAAACACGATCAGGAAAAGGTAAATAGTTTAATACATCCATAAGTTACAAAAGAAAAATACAGTTATATCCTCAAGTTCAACCTCTACTGTTATTTGTGAATGTGTTTAAGCAAACAACCAACCCCCACCAAATTCAGTCTGCCCAGCAAAGCAGTGCCCATCCCCACATTCAGGAGGCTTAGGACTGAAATAATGGGGCTTGCCAACTACTAAGAAGTAGATACTCTAACGTGACCACTCCTGTACCCTCCTTCTCTGCCCAGTCCTTAACCCTGTAATTGAAACAATACAATTGATTTATAGTAACAATATTCTCTTGCTTATTTTTATCAAAACCAGATGTGATTGTTGGAGTAAGAAAATATGCTAAGACGCACTTTACTGCAGAGAAAGTTTGGCAAAGCCGGTATGGCTATGGGTATCACATGGTTTCTGCTTCTTTTAATTTCTAATATAAACTTTCTATAACAGACCTTGATCTTTCTTAATTTTCTAATTGCATATAATCACAACTGTTTGCTTTTTATCATATCGTCTACTTTCCCCCTTCACTCTGGGATTTTTATCAACCTTTATTTCTCTCAAATAACACATGACTGGGGGAACCTCAGATGACTCACTGACCTTTGGCTAAAATCAATGGGAAAGTTATAAACTTTATGCAGCCATCCTTGATCTTTCCTAATTTTCTTATTGGGTATAATCACAATTTATGTTTTTCATCATATCATCTGTATTTCCTCTTAACCCTGGAGTTTTTCTTAACCTTTAGTTCTCTCAAATAACACACGACTAGGGTGAAAACCCCAGATAACTTACTGACCTTAGGCTAAAGTCAGCAGGAAAGTTCTCATCTTTTGATCCTGGAAAAAAATTCCTGGGCAGCGACTGGTTAGAGATTACAGCTGGGAAGAGGACTTGCCTGGGATTAATTCAGTTGCTACAGTTGGAGAACCCAAGTACAGTGATAGACATGACAACTTACTATAAATCCATAATGAGGAATGCTCAAGTACTTAATCCATGAGAGGTCCCGCATGAGGTTTACGGAATATAGTGACAGACCTGAGATCAACTACAAAGAACAGAACCATGAATTAGAATCAGTCCAGGGACTAAGAATTCTAGACAAAAATCCTTCCTCTTCAAGACCCCTTCATTCTTCTGACCATTTCTTCTCAGACCTAGTTCTTTAAAGCATTCTTCCAGTAAACTCTAAACAGAATTCTTCACTTTGCAAAGCCATGGCTCTTTGTGGGTTTATAAGAAGGACCTGCCACCCCTCTCTGCAGTAGTCAAGCCCACAGATGTTTATAATGTTTATCTTTAAAAGAACAAGCAATCTAGGCATAGTCTATTGAACGGGCTGGGAGAGCACAGCCCATTGTGGGTGGTACCATCCCTGATCTGCTGGACCCGGGTTCTATAACAAAGGTAGTACTCTCTCTTCCATGGTCTCTGCATAAGCTCCTGCCTCCAAATTCCTGCCAGTTTGAGCTCTTATTCTGGCTTTCATCAATGGTGAACAGTGTTGTGGATGTGTAAGCCAAATAAACCCTTTCCTACCCAGTTTGTTCTTCAGTCATGGTGTTTCATCACAGCAATAAAAACCTTAAGTAGGACAAACACTGAACACCACAAACTCACTTCTATCCCAAGAATCAATAAGTATTGTTATTTATAAGAGTTTTGACTCTCTATTCATGACCTTAGGAGTAATTTTGGATTCATTTTAAAATACCACCTTAAGACAACCTCAAGCCTAGAACTGATAATCCACACCATGTGGTAAAGAGCAGCAGAAAAAATGCTCAATCCCCCATTTAAAAACACAAACCACAGAATCACACGGAGATGGCAGAAAGCAGTGATGGGGACAGCTCTGAAGTTCACATAAAACTTGCTTTATCCACTCTTAAGTACACTAGAATATGCAAAACAATGACTGTGTTTGCACGCATACAGACCACATCTGTCCAAATTCTTATGCAGAGAATACAACATTTGGCACCATAACTAGTTTAAAGGTCCCATTTAGAAACTGCATACAATAACCAGCTGTCTTAGTTCCTTTCCTGTGGCTATCATAAAACACCCTGACAAACATAGAAAAGTCAGGAGCTTTTACAAGTACAAATTGCAAACATAATGGGAAAGAAATAAGGGAAACAATCTCACTCACTAAAACCTCAAAAAGGGGGAGGTGGGAGATCTTGGAATAAATATAACCAAATGAAATACTTGTATAATAAAACATGAATGAAGACACTGGAAAAAATAAATTGAAGATACAAGAAGATAGACCTCCCATGCTTACAGATTGGTAGGATAAGTACAAAAATATCCATGCTACCAACAGCAACCAACAGATTCAATGCAATCCTCATCAGATCTTCAACACAATTTAAAGAAATTGCAAAATAATACTAGATTTCACATGGAAAATCATCAGATTATCAGATCAATACTGAACAACAAAACAGCTAGAGGTATAAACAACCATTGGTGAAAGAATCCATCCGCTGTCATGTGAGGGATAACTCATTCTCTCTATTGTTAAGAGGCTTTCAGTGGGACTGCCTGCACATCTGGGAACAAGAACAACAGACTCTGTAGAACTTTACCACCCATGTATCCTTTTTTCATAAGGGTAGCATGCCTGCTAACTCCCTAAGTTAGGAGACATGAAACACTCATGTGGAGAGAGGCACCCAGCCCTTCTGATAGCTCTTTTAATTTTTAACAAATCTATGTAGTTCTAAGTTACTCTAAGATAGTATTCATCACACCAGCATCAGCACAGGGGAAGGAGGAGGCTGCTATCGCCTGAGACGGTATTCTTTTAGTTTGTTTCTTTGGTATTTGTGGGAGTTCATTTGGGTTCCTTCAAAGGGCTTCAGTTAAGATCTCCCATGAAGATTTTTAATTATTTTCAACCCCTTTTCCTGTTTTCACAATTACACATCATTAACACACACACCTGATTGGCACACACATGTGTAGACCTCTTCTAAACTTTGTTTCTATTGCTCTGATAAAGACACTGTGACCAAAACTATGGGAAAGAGAGTGTTTATTCAACTTCTCCATGCTGACCACCGTCTACCATTAGGTGAAGCCTAAATAGAAACTCAAGGGAGGAATGGGGAGAAAGGAGCTGAAGCCAAGACCAAGGAGGCGTGCTGCTTACTGGCTTATTTCCCATGGCTTCCTCATTCTGGATGGCCTTTCCAGTGCCCACAATGGGTTGGTACATCCCACATCAATCATTAATGAAGAATCCATTCCTCCTAGACTTGGCTACAAGTGAATCTGAAGGCACAATTTCTCAACAGAAGTCCCTCCCCCCTTTTTAAGACAGAGTTTTCTCTACATAGCCCTGGCTGAACTGGAACTGCCTCTGTAGACCAGGCTGGCCTTGGGCATGCACTACCACGTCCTGAAGAAGTTCCAGCTTTGCTATGACCAAGGCTTATGTCAACGGGACAAAAACTGACCAGCACAAATCCCACAGAATTATAACTTCTGTATTGCATCACACATAGCCCGAGGCCCCATGGATTCACTGTAAGATGTAGGCTGGTTACTCTTTCAATACTCCATAGATTCTCTGATCAAAAAGACAGAGAATTTATCAGAGGGGTCTCATTGTCCTCCATCCTGTCTGACCTAGGAAGGCAATGACTAAAATCCTGCTTGGCCTCTTTAACCATTTATATTCTCTTTGTTGTAGGCTTTCCAGTTCTGTTGAAAGCATAGCAGAGCTCTACAACCTTGTAACCCCGTGTGACACTTAGATAAAGCTCAGACAAAGAAACCCATACAATTTTAAATAAATCTTGATTTTGTTTTTCAAGGAACCAAGTCTAACATTGTTAGCAAATACACAATTAACTTTCTTGATTACATGTATTTTTGTTTTGTTTCTCTGATATTTGGAAATGGTCATGTAAAGCTTTAGATGCCAGTGTTTATAACTGGGACAAGACTTGATCAATGCCTCATGACAACTCTGTTGGTTTAAGTAGAAATTTGACATTGGTGTATTGACCTTTGACTTACAAATTGCAATATCCTTTCTAAGTTTTATGTTTGATATTTTTTAAAGAACTTATTTGGGCCCTGGAAAATTGCATAAATTTTCTAGTTTTTCTTTCCATTCTGAAAACATCTAACTATACAAATCTTCATACATAAATCTTTCTTTATTAAAAATCTATGTTTGCTTTCCCTTCCTTTCCTGATCTTTTTGTTTCCTGAGATTGGATTTCTCTATGTAGCCCTGAATGTCCTGGAACTCACTATGTAGACCAGGCTGGTCTTAAACTCACAGAGATCCACCTGATTCTGTCTCTTGAGAGCTGGGATTAAGGGCATGCTCCACTAGGCTCAGCCTTACCTTCATATTCTTACCTTTACATTCTTATAAAAATTTTAAAACCTTACTTTTAAAACTTATCTGGGAAATGGGTGTCTGACAATTGAGAGTAGGTATTAAAAACTAACTATTTACTTAACTATTTACTTATTGTCAGGGTACAGAAGAAGAATAAAGAGAAATCTTTTATATCAATAACAATAACATGCTGGTTTAGAGTTTGTTTTTGTATTGCCATTGAAATCTGTTGGTGGGATTAATTATCTCAGTAAGAAGCTTATCAACTCCAAGAAAAAGGTAGCATTATTTTTTCACATTTGAAACATGTTAGAGGCCATAAGGATGTTGCTAGAATTTGAGATTTTTGTTTTATTGATGTACACATTTTGGCATGCTTTTATCATAATGACAATAGTATGAGGAGCTACACCCATGGAATGAAAGTTTATTTATTAATCATTTATTTTAATAATCAAGAATTTGAATTTTCTTTTGATAATGAAAGAAATATGTGATAGCAACTTCTGTATTGTTTGTCCATATAGACAATTAACAAAATCCATAAAGGGCTCTGTAGGCTTCTGTATGACAGGGAATTAAATTATGAGTGTGTATTATAATCAGGGACTTCATTTTAAGTTTTGGCAGTCAGTGGAGTCTACAAGCTAGCTGAAAATCCAAGGATTAATTTGTTTAGTAACCATTAAAAGATGGCAAATCTTGAGCCATAGCTTTAAAATTTTATTTTTAAGACACTTGAGTATTAAGCAGATTTTCTTTCAGATTTTAGGTTTATATTAGCAGAAAATCATACTCACCATTCATATCCAAAGTTTTACCAAACCCAAAGTGCTTTCAGGGTGAAGATAAAGCTTGGTTATGAATGACCAGCCACTCAGCCTCAAGCTGGTGGAGGCCTGCTTGCAACTGGGAAGGAGGCAGTGGCCTCTCTGTCAAACTGCTTGACCAAGATACTGGCTGGGCCAGGAGAAGTCCTGCAGGAGTCCCCAGAGAGGAGCTGCACATCCTCAAGACTACACTCATGAATGAAAGTTCACAGATTTATTTCAATGGTACCTTAGTTCTAGTTTTTTTAAGTGAAGATTGTATTTGTTGTGCATGCATATAAAGTTTAGGAGGCAAAGAACTCTCCATAGCAAAAGAAGACAGGGAAACCAAAGTTTAAAGGCAGAGAAGTAACAGGAGCAACAGCATTAGGGATTGATGTGGTTTGGGACAGCCCATCCTAAACAAACACCAATATATTTCACAGAATGTAGGGAGACTTCCAGGAGACAGTGTAACACCAAAATACTCTGTGTGTCCCTCTTGAAAAATTTTCCACATATTCTCCGGGATAAAGTTACTGTTTTATACCCATATTTTTTTCCCTTAACTATATATTCACACATGAGAAGGGAAAAGGGGAGGGATTACACAGACTTTGTCCATCTTATTTATATGGACACATTCTGTCATCTTTAACCCTCCACTAATGTACTGCAGTCACCGTAGAACTGCATTTCATTTTTTAAAATCTCCCATTACGATGCTCAGACAGTTCTGGGATCTGATGGTGACTTGGCTTTTTTTCTATACTCTGGGATAGAAGCACCAGAACCAACAATGGGCAGAGTTTCTGAAAACGGTTCCTGGACCGTGTTGTTTCCACTGTGCTTTGGGGTCTTTGCTCTGGGATGGCAACAGTAAGCTCCTGCACTAGCAGAAAGAACATGAACGTTAACACACTACATCAATCTTTCTATTTACTTGATATACTTCTGGGGAAAATGTGGGACCTGGTGCCAATTATTGGTTGATTTATTTACATTAAGTGTGTAATTTACATGAGAAACTAAGACTGGGTATCCAGTTACAGCCAGTGAGCAGTAGTGTGCTAATAGTGGAGACTGATTAGTACTGAGGAGTCTGGGTTCTTCCACTTTTTCCAACACTTTCCAGAACACAAGTGAGCCCTAAGACAAACTCCTAGTGCCATGACCTTGTTTTTCTGACTATAGACAACTGAATAAATCAAATCCCTTCTGCTGTAGTTAAAATAGCAGGCAAATCTCTCACAGCAGCATGAAAGAAAGGCTGCAATCCATCTTGTGGGAAATCAGTCAATCATACTATTTTCTTGAAGTTCTAATTGATTATGGTTTTGTAATATTATCCTCCCAAAAATGTCTGTTAAGAGCTCACTAGAAAGGGCATGTCAGACACACCATAGGACTGACATCAGAGCAGCAGCCACAATGCCTGGGAGGAAAGGTGGTTCCTCCTCTACCACAGACTGCAATAAGCTTTAGCATAAGACCTCATGGCTCAGGTCCTGTAAACCTGTAAATAGGTTACAGGTGAAAGAAGGAACACAAAGAAGATTTTCCTCCTATAAAAACAATTCACACTCACCAGCATGAACATAAAATAGATGGTTATGAGTTCTGTTGGTACAGCTGCTGCATTCTCCCCTGCTCCTAAAGACAGTGGCACAGAACTGGTACAGCAAGCCAACATCATGATGGTGAATATCATAGTGAAGAAACCCTTCACATCTGTTATTACTCCTTAGAAATAAAAAAGTGGAGTCAGTCCAGTTACCAAAGTCCAGGCTATTGTATAGTTTTCAAATAAGACTTCAACCACCAAACTCTAATTGAATTGCTTTTTTCTATGCGACTACATAAAGTTGTTATACAGTCTCCATTTTAAGTCATATGTATAAACTAATGTGTGTCTGTGGAATGTACGCCATACATCTGCAGTTACCTTTGGCGGCCAGAAGGCAGTATCAGATCTCTTAGAATTGTGGCTATGGGCAGTGAAAGCTGCATGATGATTAGGGTGTTAGGAACCAAATTTGGGGACTCTACAGCCTCATCATATGGTTTTGTAGTTGTACTTGGCACAAAATACCTTTCCATATAATGCATATTCTCTTTTATAGATAATTATGAGACATTTATAAGATCCTGATATGTAGAGCTCCAGGGAACACAACTGGTCAAATCTTCTGCCTTCTCTCACAGGAGAATTACCAATAGAAAACATTTTTGTCCTCAGTTCCTTGTGTTTATCATAACTGTGCTATTAAAAATAATGGGGTCAGTAGTGTGTCAGTCAGTTTTGTAAACTTAACACAAGTTAGGGTCATATGGAAGAGATAACCTCAACAATGAAAATGCCTCCATTATATTGGTCTATAGACAAGCCTGTGGGTGCATTTTCTTGATTAAGGATTTATGTGGGAGATCCTTTCAACTGTGAGCAATGCCATCCCTGGGAATCGGGTCCTGGAATCTGTAATAAATCAGGCTGAGCAACCCATCAGGAGCAAGCCAGTAAGCAGCACTCCTCCACAGACTCTGCTTCACTCCCTGCCTCCAGGTATCTGCCCTGAATTCCTGCTCTGATTTCCCTTCTTGACATACTAAAAGCTGTCTAAGGAAAGGATTAAACAACCTTGCAGTGGCTTTAATATCTGGAGGACAGGAGAATGCCTCCAACTTTAGTTTTTCCTAGGAAATCACCATGTAACTGCTATGGAGGAAGGCAATGGGCTCCAGAAGATGATTTGTAGTTTTTATGGAGCTAATGTTATGAGCCATGCAGAGTCCTGTTTCTATAATAGTCAAAAGAACACAAGTTAGAGCCTGGGAAGCTGAGTTCTATTCTTAATTGTTTTAGTAGTTATTGTTATGATTACCATGGTGTGTATGGTACATGTACGAGTATGGGTGTCTGTGACTATTTATGTGGCATGGTGTATATGAGGCATGGTGTGCATGTGCCATAGCGTGTATGTGCCATGGTATGCATATGCTGTTGTGTGCATATGCCATGGTGTGCATGTGCCATGGTATGCATGTGCCATGTTGTGTGTGTGTGGCATTAAAGAACATCTTTCTGGAGTGATTCTCTCTTCCCCACTGTGGATTCTGAGCATCAAATTCAGATTGTCAGACTTGCAGGAAGAGCACCTTTGCCCACAACCATCCCATGGCCTAATTGAGTAATTCTGAGTGAACAGTCTCCTATAAAACAAAGTCTAAGCTGTATTGGTTTATATTAGAAAATGTATCTGTGTGAGAGTGTGTGTGTAGTACTGCGTGTAGTACTGTGTGTGCTTTGTGTGCATTTATATGTGTGTTTGTGGGTGTATACATCTGTATGTGTTTGTATGTGTGTGTATTTAGATGTGTGTGGGTGAGAGAGAGAGTGTGTGTGAAAAGTATGGAAATTCTGAACAAATAGGCTCATTAACCATAATGAACAAATGAATCTGGACACATATTTCAAAAAACTATATATGTTATATAATTTCATCAAACCTCAAATTCATTATCCTCTCTCTTTGTAAAATTAGGTAGCATAAGACATTGTACACATTTAACTTCTTTTACACAATACATATATATAACATATTATCATCTTCTCTAATTTTATTTACATATAGAGGCACATACTGAAATGCAGAATAATACACCATAATAATGTGCTGTCATTGCAGAAGCTCTAAATTTTGTTCCCAACACCTACACTGTGGCTCATATTTTCCTGGAACTCCAGTTCAAGGTGATTTAATGTCCTCTTCTGGCCTCCCCAGGAGCTTCATTCACTTAGTGTGTGTGTGTGTGTGTGTGTGTGTGTGTGTGTGTGTGCATCCACACACACAGAAAAACAAAGAAATAAAGGAAAAATAAATCATTTACAGTACTTATGGATAGATATCTAATAATTGTTTGCTCCATTGGCACTGTCTCAAATGTGTATGCTATTTATACATTCATTATAGTCCATGGAATCTCTAGCACGGTTTCATAAACAGCTTTTGTAGTATTTTGTTAACAAGTCTTGGAGACTTTCCTCACACTGAACATCTGTTTTACATGGCACACAGTGAAGACATGATTTTCTACTCTTGCTCTTCTACATTAGTCCTGTCACATCTGTACAAACCAAGCCACGCTCCCCCCAAGAGTAAACACACATTCTCTTGCTTTGTCACTTACCTGTCATGCTGAATACTATAACAGTAAATATAATACTTGGCAATAATCTCCTGGGTACCAGGTCACCCAGCAATTTCCCAAGGAAATACGATGACACTCTGTAGTATCCACTGGTGTGCTCATGTCTATAGAGAAAAAGACCACATTATACATCCTTAGATTAGTCCAGAAGGCACAGGGGAGATGCTGACTGCACTGACTTCTGTGATGACAGGGAGCCTCACAGGACAGTGTCCCCTATTCTCCATGCTGATGTCCATACATGTCCCTGGCTTAGGGACCAGCATCTTTAGGTCATCAGCCTTATGACATTCTCATTACGATTCTCCCCACTACTGAATTGTCCTCTATTTTTTCCACTCTGGCCACACAATAGCCCTTCTAGAGAAACAGCCCAATGTGCCCACTCTCCGCAAGTCTCTGCCCACTGAAGCTGGCTCCCCGAGGAGCAGCTCATTCGTACCTCACCTCAGACCATGGTCATGGAGACTTCTCTCCTTCCAGTTCTTATGAAGAAGGTGACACTATCACTCTGAGGTCACAGTGCAGCTTCAGGACACCACCTTCTCTTCTGCTGCTCTCACTTGGGGCAGATGTATTCCTTCAATAATCTCTCTTTACAACCATGAATCCTTACCAATACCAAATATAATCTTTCCTTCCTGATATCTTCTTCTAAGTCATTCCAAATTTCAAGCTCTTCCCCTCTGAGTAACTTCATTGTATCTCTTATTTTTTTTGAGAACAAATCACTAGTTCAGGCTGGCCTCAGAATCCATATGTAGCCAAGAATGACCAACTTCCTGCCTCCCCCAGAGTCCCAAGAGCTGGAATTACAGAAACAGTCATGCTCGGTGTTTTGTGGTACTGTAACTTTAACACAGGGTTTCATGCACACAAAGTCAACACTCTACCAACTGAGTGGAGCCCTCAGCTCCTCTCTGGTGACTCCTCTTCTTGGCATGTTTAGAGGCAAATCTTGGCCATCTTTGAGAACAATGAATCCTAATCAGAGACCAACAGAAAAAAAATCTTCCATGTTTAAAAAACACAGAAGATAAAACAGCTCATTTCTAAATAGCTACTGTCTGGCTCTTTCTAGTCCTCCATCAAGAGGAGAACTGTGATTCTTGTGCAACTGTCCCTCTCCAGCTCGAATGTGCTGCTGAACCCACTACACTTAAGCTCTATGAAATCCCTACATCCTCTTTAGGGGGTTCACGAATTTCCTGTGATTTTCAGTCCCCTACCGCTGTGTTGTCTGCTGAATTCTGAGGACCACACCCCAAATCTGAAATATTTGCTGAGCATCAGACACCTTTGCTTTTAATTACCCATTTATTTTTCATTAATATTAGTAATATTTATACTTCAAAATGCATGGGGCCACAACAATGATGAACACAAACTTTCATTATTTGTTTACTTTTCTGCTAAATGGAAAAGAAAAATGCTGATATTTCATAAGATAGCATGTTAAGCTCAACTACAAATGTAATCAATTTGATCAACAACCCCGAATGCCTGCTATCTGAGCAGGGGCTACTCACAGAAAGCGATCCCTGTCAATCACAAAGAGCTCCCCTGTAGTCATGCCTGTGATACATTCAAAGCTTGTGAGCAAGAAGAGCAAGGCAGCTCTGTAGGGAGAAAATGGGGGCAAAAAAAATAGTAAATTCAACATTAGGATGGTTTCCTTACAACAAATATTGTTCTTTAGATTAAATAAAGTCATACAAATTTTTCTTAAAAAGAAGAACAAACTGAGCAGGAAGACAATGATGATGACAAAGAAGCAGTAATGACTTGGCAGTAACAAGCAATTGTTACTCTTTCAAAGGATCAAAGTTTAGTTGCCAACACCCACATATTGGATCACAACTATCAGTCACTTCAATTCTAGTGGATATGATGCCCTCTTCTGTTTTCCACATGCCTCAGGACACACTGGTGTAGGAGGTTCTTCTGTTCATGTGTTGCTTTCATTGGTTAATTAATAAAGAAACTGCTTTGGGCCTGATATAGCAGAACTTAGGTAGGCAGAGAAGACAGAACTGAATGCTGGGAAGAAGGGCAATGTGACAGACACCATGGTTCTCCTACCTGAGACAGACACTGGTTAGAATGTTGTAGGTAAGCCACAGCCACGTAGCGATAGACAGACTAATAGAAATGGGTTAAATTAAGATGTAAGAATTAGCCAATAAGAAACTAGAACTAATGGGCCAAGCTGTGTTTTAATGAATACAGTTTCTGTGTGGTTATTTCTGGTGTAAGCTAGCCAGGGAGCTGGGACAGAACAAGTGACCCTCCTCCTTGTAACAATTGGCACTCTGCCTTGCAAGAATTGGTGCTTCAACGTGGTTGGCTAACTCCACATAAAACCTGAGAAGGCTTGAAAAGGAATTCTAGACACAAATATAGATACACATCTTTTTGCATTTTTGTTGTCCATGTGCCACAGAGAGATTTTTCTGGCTCAGCAGCCACAGCATGAAAAAGTGGCGGTTTTAATATGTCAGCTTTCTGGGCTCTGCTGCTAGTGGGACCTCTGGCTCTTGTGGGAAACAGAGCATTTGGATGGGGTTTGTGAGTTGATTGCTCCGGCTTGCTTGATGGCACCTTGGACCAGATGTGTGCCTGGAAGTTGGTCAGTGTTCGCGGCTCAGAGATGTAAGCAGCTCCACCATGCTGGACTGTGTAGAGCTAACAGAAACTATCATATTTATCATAATAACAGCGCAACTTAAGTTTTAGACTGGGCAGGCAAAAGTAAGAACCATATTACCCATACTAATGGTGTAACTTAAGTTTTTAAGAAGCACTTAGCATTTAAAATCACAAAGCATAAAGTATTCCTGGGCAGTAGAGAATTACAGACAATGCAATAAGGACAGATTCAGACATAAAATATCTAAAAATGGGTCACAGTGTTGTATGGGTTTTGTAGGCTTGGGAGAGAAAAGGAAAAGAATATAGAGAGTCATAAAATAAAATTAAGGCTTTAAAACAGGGGGTAGAGTCTTTAAAGAGACAGAGTACAGATAGTGATAGATTAAAAGGAGTAAAGAAAAATAAGCATGTAAAAATGGCAAATTCACAGGAAGTCTGGATTCTGTATATTATTATGTTTTGTTGAATTTTTTGACTGTGAAGGAGCTAAGTACAGAGAAACATTTAATTGTATGGGCTTCTAAGCTAAACCAGCATGTATATTATAAAGGTATCTTGCCTTCAGAATTTGGATCTAAGGATATGGTGATTTGGAAAAGAGGTTCTTCTTTTGTTTTCACAGAAGATGAGAACCTGTGGATTGCCTCCAGGTGAATATTGTTTTATGTACCAAGGCCTCCTGAAAGGTCACCATGAACACCCTCAAAAAGTTACTTTGACCACCTGGTGACTGAGATGAGCCTAGCATACAGGATATACCATGAAAGACCTGATTAACAGTACCCACATACAGCAGGAAGACTTTGGAGAGAAATAACTATGCCCATATTCCCAAATAATGTTTATAAATGTTCTTTTACATTTAAAGGGGGGATATTTTAAAGAAATGAATAATTTGCATTAATATGGATCTTGCTTTATTTATGAATTTAAGGCCAATTTTGTTATATGTATATGTATTTCTGATCTTGATTAAAGTATTGTGATTATGTAGCTCATTTAAAATGTAATGTATAATTAGAAAATATAGGTTAATAGAGAGTCATCTTTAATAGTCAAGCTTGTAGTCATGTTAGCTAGATACTCTAGATGTGCATAGATATATTTCAGATAGGCATTCTTCATATCTTTCAAAGACTGCAAAATATGACATTTAAAAGTTTTAATAACTCAGAACTTCTTCCATCTCCACCCTCCCACTCCTCTAAGCTCTTCCCAATCTTTCCTTTCTCCCTTCTCTCTCCCCCTCACCCCTTCTTCTAACCCCATCTCCACCCAACTTTTGCCCAGCTTCCAATTGTTTTGCTTCCAAATTTGCTTCCAATTTCCAGGAGAATCTATATGTTTTTCTTTGGGTTCACCTTGTTATTTGGCTTCTCTAGGCTTGTGAACTATGGGCTTAATGTCCTTTGTTTATTGCTAAAGTCCACTAATGAATGAGTACATACCATATTCATATTTTTGGGTCTGGGTTATCTAACTCGGGATAGTGTTATCTATTTCCATCAATCTGCATGCAAAATTCAAGATGTCATTGTTTTTTACTGCTGAGTAGTAAGCAGGGAAGAAGATATTTACATTAAGGGAGCCATTTTAGGGGTGGCAAGATACTTGGCTCTAGAGGGGATCTCAGGTGTCCATGGGGATGTCCCCAGCTATGTCCTTGGGCAGCACAGGAGAGAGTGCCTGAACTGGCCTTGCCCCACTATCACACTGATGAGTATCTCGAATATCATCATAGAATCTTCATCCAGCAATGGATGGAGATAGAGACAGAGACCCTCATCAGAGCAACAGACTGAGCTCCCAAGGTCCAGTTGAAGAGCAGAAGGAGGGAGAAGACCAGCAAGGAAGTCAGGACCGTAATGGGTTGGTCCACCCATTGAGGCAGAGTGCCTGTTCTAATGGGAGCTCACCAAATCCAGCTGTACCAGGAGTGAATGAACTTGCGATCAAGCCAGACTCTCTGAATGAGGCTGACAATGGGGACAGACTGACAAGTCAATGAAAAAGGCACTGGGACTTGTTTCTACTGCATATACTGGCTTTTTGGGACCCTAGTCTATTTGGATGCACAGCTTCTTATGCCTGGGTATAGCAGGGAGGGCCTTGGACTTCCCACAAGGCAGGGCTCACTGCCCTCTCTTAAGGAGGGATGGGAAGGAGGAGGGAGAGTGGTGGAGTGGGAGGGGAATGGGAAGAGTGGAGGAAGTGTAAATTTTTGAATGGAAAAATAGAAAAATAATAACTGAGAACCTTGCATGACAATGAGACACATCTGAGACACAATGAGACATGACTCTCAGAGGTGTGAACAGCTCCATCATGCTGGACTAGGTGGTCAAGCAGAAAGTACCATATGTACCATAGTAATGGCATAGCTTAAGTTTTAAGAATTGCTTAGAATTTTAAAATGTGCTCCTGGACAGTAAAGAATTATAGATATACAATAAAGACAAATCCAGGTGAGTCATAGTGTTGGACAAATGTACATAAGTTTTAAAGAAAGAAGAAAAGGAGTATAGAGAGCCATAAAATAAAGTTAATGCTTTAAAAATTGGGTAAACTCTTTAAAGAGACAGAGTACATGTAGTCTTAGATTAAAAGAAGTAAAGAAAAATAAATCATGTAAAGATGGAAAATTCACAGAGTCTGGATTATGTATATTATTGTTTTATCTTTGAAATTTTTGACTGTGAATTATCTAAGAACAGAGAGACATTTCATTGTATGGGCTGCTAAGCTAACCAACCATGTATATTATAAAGGTATCATGACTTCCAAAGTTGGGTCTAAGGATATGCTGCTTTGGAAAAGAGATTCTTAGTTTGTTTTCACAGAGGATGAGAACCTGTGGATTGTTTTCAGACTGGTGTGGTTTGATAAAACAAAATCCCCTGAAACGTTGCCTTGAACACCCCTCAATAATTATTTCACCCAAAAAACAGCAGAAAGAAGTTTGGACAGAACCACACCCATATTCCCAAATATTATTTGTAAATGTTTCTTTACATTTAAAAGAAAACATGCTATAGAAATTGATACTTTGCATTAGTATGGATCTTGGTTTATTGATAAAAATTTTAGATCAATTTTTTATATGTATATTTCTTCTCTTGATTAAGGTATTGTTTGTGCAGCTCATTTTAAAATGTAATGTATAATTGAGAAATACAGGTAAATAGAGTCATCTATAATAGTCAAGCTTGTAGCCATGTTAGTTAGATTTTCTAGGTATACAGAGATGTATTTCAGATAGGTAGGTATCTTCAAACCTTTCAAAGACTGCAGAATATGGCATTTAAATGTTTTAATAACTTAGGACTTTTCATGACAATGGGATACATCTGCTCCTGGCAGCACAAGCTACTTCAAGAGGAAGATGGGCATCAAAGAGGCACCTTATGGGGTTTGTTAGCCATTTGGGCAAGGAACTGCTCTTGCCTGAAATGTTGAACTGGACATGCAGGACCTGCAGATAAATGACTGCTGAACTTGCCTAAAGGTGAGATGATCCTTTGAGATTCCTGCTTCATGAAAGAGTCTGCCAGACATTCTTTAGGACACAGAAGAAAGTTACTGACAAACTGCCAATAAAGGTGGAAATGTCTTTGAAAAATCCCACTTTATGGAAAAATCTGCTGGATAGTATGGGCCAATAGGCTGAAGATGGATGCCCCAATGGTACAGAAGAACTTTGGGTGATTGACCAGGTAGCAAGATGTCTCTGCCAACTCTAGAGTTTTAGAAATTGCTTGCAATGCACTTCCTGTTTACTTAAGTAATATTATATCCTTCTGGAGTCTTTGATGGAGTTGAAGAATTTATAGTTATAGTTTTCCTTAGTTATCATAAAAGATAAAATAAATATTGTAACTGTAATTCTTGCATGATATTTGTCTTGTTATATATGTTATATATGTAATTTTACTATGTTAAAATTAAGACCTTCCTTTATTAACAAAAA